GTAGCTTCTTGTTACTACTAGTATGGCACCTGTTACTACTAGCGTGGGCACTTGTTACTAGTAGCTTCTTGTTACTACTAGTAAGGCACCTTGCTACTAGTAGCAAGACGCGAAAGTGACTGTGGAGACGATGCCTGTTTTGTCCTGCGGCTCCCCACGCAGAAACTCATCATCTGCGCTCGCCTTGTTGGTCTTCGGGCCTTCTTCCTGGACACGTTGCAATGAAAATCTATCTTTGACAGGTCTAGGCGGTCCAGGCCTGGGTTTTTCTAAAACCACCAAGCAGAATCTGTTTATTGCAACAGGACTCATCAGTTTGTGCTGCTGTTGTATGTCGTTCCTTTTGAAGGGAGGGTAGGCTGCAAAGACCAGGAGCACGGTAGGAAGGTAAAGTAGAAGGTACATTGCCAGTAAGAGGAAGCTACTAGATTCTTACCTCTTACTAGGGATGGCCTCCAACCTCTAGCGATGGCCTCCAACCTACTAGCGATGGCCTCCAACCTACTAGTGATGGCCTCCAACCTACTAGCGATGACCTGCAACCTACTGGCGATGGCCTCCAACCTACTAGGGATGGCCTCCAACCTAATAACTTAAGTTTCCGTAAAAATCTAGGAACCAAGTGAATAGTGCGAGCGTGAGCTATCCTGCGTCCAGATACGAGAAGCTTACTTAAGCTACTAGCTACCTCTTCTAGCGCCTACCCCCAGCCCGGGCCAACATGAAACCCGGGCATGGTCGAAACGGTTTTGAGGAAATTAAGCATGAAGTTCAACAAGCAGCACCCAAATCCTGCCCACAGGCCCATCAGGTATATTTTAAAAGACGCGAAGAGTTAAGCTCCAAGGAAAATGATGCAAAGTCGAAAAATACACAGGACATGAAGCAAAAAGAATCTGAAGAGGAAAACAACATGTGCGCGCCTCCTCTGCCATTTTGCACTTGAACGGGTGTATTGAGCTTTTCTTGAGCCCAAAAGACTCAAAGATTCATTGAGGCAAACATCAAGGCAACATGTTAAGCTTTCCCCAAAATCTAGAAACCAAATGAACAGTGGGAGGGCTTCTGGCGAGGGGAGCTTCCTTGAAGAAGCCTGAGCTTCCTGCATTCATACCATTAGCTACTTAAGCTACTAGCTTCTCACCTCTTACTAGCGATGGCCTCCAAGCTAATAGACCAAGTGTGTCCCTAAATATCTCCCAACCAAATGAATAGAAGCGTGAGCTATCCTGCGTCCTAAGTAGTAGCTACTTAAGCTACCAGCTACCTCAGTTCCTTACTTGATTAAGTAGGGAGGGAGGAAGAGCGAGCGGGCTAAAAACCACAACAAACATTAAGAGGAATGTCGCTCCAAAGGCCTGATGTTGCAATTGCTCAGGAGTTCATTGGGTTCAACTTGATTCGTACAAGTAAGGATCGTCACTAAAGGATTCGTACATTTCGAGTTGGGACTGCTCCGGGTAATACATGGAAGCTAGTAGGGGCTCCTGGCATCGCTACTAGGAGCAAGGACGCTACCAGGCGCTTCTGGCCTTACTACTAGGAACAAGAAGCAACTAGGGGCTCCTGGCATCGCCACTAGGAGCAAGACTTTCCCATTGAATCCGCAGCACATCCACTGATACACTGTTGTTGGGCCTTGATTGGGAGGTTCCATGGTTTGATTGACGACAGGATTCGTACTTTCGACTCCGGGTGCACCGTTGAGGGCCTTGCTTTGAGGCTTTGCATCGTTCAGGCACGCTTGGAAGCCGGTAGTGGGATGCTTGGAGATATCAACAACGTTAACTGCACAATACTGCAAATCTGCACCCAACAAGTTGTCAAGAACACTTCAGTCAAATGGTCAACCGAATCCTTTGAGGACCTAGATGAAGTCTTGTGTGCTCTCACTTCCAAGGCAATCCTGCCAAAGAAAGGACGGCAGTCGGCAAAAATGGACTTGGAACAAAAAGAACAGAACACACACAAAGCAAGAAGCACTGTGTGCCATTGATTGAAGTCTTCTTGTTACTAGTAGCGCTACTACTAGCAGCTAGCAAGAAGTACTGTGCCATTGAAGTCTTCTTCACCAACAAAAAACTAAAGAATCACAGGTGAGCTCCGCTGCCTTGGACACCGGTGAACTCTGCAGTGACCGCACTCGGTCCACGGCATCATTCACCTGACCTGGTGATGCATTGAAATATACGTTGTCAGCGGCCAAAATGACAATTACTATTAATAGCTACTTAAGCTAATAGCTCCTTACCTCTTACTAGCAATGGCCTGCAAGCTAATAGCGATGGCCTCCAACCTACTAGCGATGACCAAAATGACAGTATCTAATCTAGATTTTTTGTTTTCTGTGTCTGTTCCGTTCTCTTTTGACCTTTCATTGTTGCTGTCCTTCCTTTAGAATGTTGAATGAATGTGTCAGCAATTGAATGTCTTCTTTGCCAGCCAAGGCACTCTGCATATCTTCAAGCCTCGAATCAAACATTGCAGGGATCTCTGGGATTGCAGCAAGCGAAAAACATAGTAGCTCGGAGGCCATCGCTATTAGTAGCAAGGGCATCGCTACTAGTAGCACGAAGGCTACTAATAGCTCCTGGCCTTACTACTAGTAGCAAGGACGCTACTAGGGACTCCTGGCCTTACTACTAGGAACAAGAACGCTACTAATAGCTCCTGGCCTCGCTACTAGGAGCAAGGACGCTACTAGGTTGGAGGCCGCTTTTACACTTCACTCTTCCATCTCTTGGGGATGAACATCTGGCATCCAAGGCTCTGCTTGGTCAGAACAAAGAAGGGCACTGTATTGGCTTCGTCTAAAGGGCCAGCCATCATACCGCCACCAGGCATAGGAGATCCACCACCGCCACGCGACTCGCAGAATTCAAGACAAACACAAATGTGCCTTTCATCCAATGTGAAATTGAAGACTCGTTTGAATCATTGATCTCGAAGGTCCAAAGAAAATTAATCAAGACACATTCAATTTGTCTTCTTAAGTCTCCTTAACCAACATTTCTGTCCTTGGCGAGCATTCCTCCGGCTGCGGCTCCTGCTGCTGCACCCATCCTCGTCCGAGTCTCCACATCACTAGCAGTTTCCATTGGATCATTTTTGCAAGCTTCTGTTCAAACCTTTTAAAACACATTTTCTAGAAGTTTTCTAAGAAGCATCGTTTTATATAGTATATTTTCTTCCTTTGGAACGATTTCGACCATTTAGTCCGACTTTTTCTTCAACGCTTTGGCGAACGCCAAGCGTCAATGCGGCGACTTTGCAATTCATGTTGCAGATCTCTTTTTCCTCGAAAAGCAAGAAACAACAACAAAGGGAGGCAATTAAAAATAGTGTATAAATCAATGAAAACGACATCGATTTATAACATCGAAGTCAAGCCCAGGCTCTATGTAGTTCACCTGCTTGAACCTCACATGATGCAATTCTCACACAAGGATCGAAAAACCGATTCTCTAACAGTTCTTGCCTTTTTGCTTAAAATACATTTCTCTTTTGGTTTCCCTAATCCTTTCCTTCCTTTTTGATCCTTTCATCTAGACGAATACGTTCGAGGGATCAAACTTTGAGGATCCCTGAAAGAGAGATCAGCTGAAGGAGACCCTGCACCTCCTCTAAACAAGCAGGCTGACTCCTATGCTGGCAAGGGACAATTTCTTATCCGGATCCGGCTCATCTGAAGCATCTTTTTCTTCCTTCTCATCCTCAAATTCGAGCCAACTCCGAACTGTCTGTTGTGTGGATAGATGCCTCTGTAACAACGGAACTGGGAAATTCTACATATTCCCTGTCCTTGCTGGAGAGAAGGGTAAGAGGATTCAGCATATTCAGCGCCCCACCTGACAAAGTTTGGAGGCCATTGACTCTAGTAACTCAAAAGAATATTTTTATTGCCAAGTTTTCTTTGCCAACAAAAGTGATCTTCCGCCACCTATGCGATCTTCGGCCGGCCGCGGCTGCCTAGGATTCCTGCGCCCTTGACACCACCAGGGCACTTGGCATTGCAAAGCATGAAGACTCCAAGACCTGCATTCGGAATGCGGCACCAATAAGGAGCTACTAGTAGCATCCTTGCTCCTAGTAGTGAGGCCAGGAGCCCCTAGTAGCATCCATTCTTGTATAAAAACAGAATCAACGCAAGAAACGCAATGACATTGCTGTGGACACAGTTTGAATAAAGAAGCAGCAAACATTGCCATCTCTTCCAACAGGCCTGCCTCGATAGGGTGTGCAAGAAACATGCTATTGGTCAAACCAATCTCTGGATGATATCGCTAGCTTTCATTTGTCCATAAGACCCGATTGATGATAATGCTCTGATTTTGTTCTTGCGCCAGCCACGTGTCGAAGACATGGGTGATTGTTAATAGGAAGAGGTTGTTGATCAATATTGATGAATTCTAGGTTGGAGGCCATCGCTATTAGCTCGGAGGCCATCGCTAGGAGGTTGGAGGCCATCGCTATTAGCTTGCAGGCCATCGCTAGGAGGTTGGAGGCCATTACTATTACAATGCTCAGCCAGTTCATGGTCATCAGCTGGTATGGAAAGCCAAACCACGTGAGAACAAAAAGGAAAAACAAAGGTGACAAAAGAGAAAGAAAACAGACAAAACAAAAGGAAGTACTTCTACTCATTCTACTTATTCTACTCCCTCACTTTATGTTCCAACACGGTGTCACTACGACGTCAAGACGACCCCGAATCCCGTGGAAGGAGGCCTCCAGCTGCACCGCCAAGACCTGCACCTGCTGCCCTGGGCGGAGCACCAAAATGTCCCTTAACATCCTTGTTTTCTTTTTTTTCATGTTCGTAGTAAGAATGCTTCTAGTAGCGATGCCAGAAGCCCCTAGTAGCTTTCTTGTTACTAGTAAGGCCAGGAACCCCTAGTAGCGTCTTGCTCCTAGAAGCGATGCCAGGAGCTACTAGTAGCTCTTCGAGGCGAAAGGGTCTTTCTTTCGACTTCTTAGTAGCTTCTTGCTAGTAATACTGGCCTCCAACCTACTAGCTTCTTGCTAAGAAAATCTACTGTTAGTAGCATCAAACCCAGTGATTCTTTTCATTAAAACATATCATTATTTTTCGAGCAAATATGGTGTCTCTTCTACTTATCTAACTTCTATATACATTTATGCCATTTTTCTGTCCATGGATATATCATACACTCCGTTATACTCCTTTCATGCGCTTTGTTTGCCCTTGTGCTTTCGGCATCTTCTGAGCAAAAGGCTTCTTTGTGCAACTGCACGTTGGTAAATAGATCAAGACAGAAGGTTCAACTCATGTCAAATGGCCCTTTGTTTCTGCTCAATTTCTTCATGTCTTTCCAGTACCCCGCTGGCCAATGCTTGATTCCAAGTGGCATGGACATGAAGGAGGTGGACCTCAAAACAATGACACAGTGGCATCAACTCAAAAAAGTGGGTCAATCCTGGTGCTCACAAACATGCATCTCCTTGAGGCTGTTTAGGCGCCAGGCTCCTCGACATGCGTCCGGAGACCATCGACTCCATAATGAGTCTTCAGCACAGCACCTGGGCTTCTGCATGTTTCAACATGGTTCAATGACTTGTGACTGTCCCACAAATGGGTTCCTATATATTGTGCACTCTTGAATTTGACGAACCAACACACCAATGCAATGTTTTAATGTCTTCCTCGCAAATCAAAGTCTTCACATTTTCACATTAATCCGTTTTGAGACGCCTTTGCATTGGCACAGGATAAAACAACAGGAACTAAAACAGAAAACAGGTAGGTCCAAATGTCAAAAGAAAACAACAAGAAGCCAAAACCAAAAACATTACGAAGAAGGATGAAGAAGAACGCCCAAACCAACGAAAGCAAGCAGGCTCCGAGTGGCTCTGCATGGCGGGCGGCCGCCCGCTGGCTTGGACACCCACGGCCAACGGAGTCAACGTAGGACATGGGTTCCATGTGGGTTCCTACGGTTGCAGCTACTAGGAGCAAGTGCCTTACTAGTAGTAACAAGGACGCTACTAGGGGCTCCTGGCATCGCTACTAGGAGCAAGGACGCTACTAGGGGCTCCTGGCCGTACTACTAGGAACAAGAAGCTACTAGGGTAAAACATCATTCTGAATAGATCGAGTCAAGTGTTCCGAATAAAAGATGTACTGGGCAATGCTTTCATTATCACAGCACACATGGCAAGAGACTCCTGTTTGAAAGACATACTTCATCAAAAGTCGATTTTTCCGGCGAACACTTTGGAAGCAACTAGCTTCTTGCTGGATTGTGGCACCGTGAAACGAGCAGAATCTGTCTGTCTGTTCTCAGATTTGCAAACAAATTGTTGCTAGGTTCCTTTTGCTATTAGGTTGGAGGCCATCGCCATGGGGTTGGAGGCCATTGCTTCTAGCTTGGAGGCCATCGCTATGAGCTTAGAGGCCATCGCTTTTAGGTTGGAGGCCATCACTCCTATAGAATGCTGAAGACATATTTCACACCCAAGCGGCACAGAAACTGCTTCAACGGCCACTGCGGGTCTGCCGTCTTTCAAATGAAAAAACACCATCGCCTCTATTTTTGGTTCGCGCAGTGCTACTTGATCCAAATAGTGTCTGAGATAGTTATTCGGTCACAGCCCATGTCGTTTGACATCAGAGCACGCATTTGCGTGAGGACCGATCACCGCTCAACCTGAACTTGCAAACTCATGGCCTTCAAAGCGATATTTGTGGTCGAACTACCGGAGTGCACAGAGTGCACCACTACAAGCGATTTGCACTGTACAAGTTTGTCAGCGGGGCGACATTGGTGGAGTAGATGCCTGAGGCCAAAGGTTGGGACTGTACAAGTTGCTTTTCAATTTTTTCCTATACAATGCTTTGCGTTTACTTCGCTCCTCTTTCTTAGCAAAGCTAAACTGCTTCTTTAAACCACACATGCTTTGACATTGCTCGCCCTCTCAACTCCCCTCAAGCTAACCTCAGCCACCCGTCGCAGGCGCTCATCCTGCCGAGTCTCCTGTGCACTGCAAAGCTTTTTGAAGAAGAAACAACGAAGGCCGTCATGTGCCCTGCCGAACTTCAGTGCCCTGGTTGCTTGGTCGGAATTCAACCTCCAACCTACTAGCGATGGCCTCCAACCTAATAAACAAGTTTTGAACATCAAACTAACAAACGCTACTAGTAGCTCCTGGCCTTACTACTAGTAACAAGAAGCTACTAGGGGCTCCTGGCCTTACTACTAGGAGCAAGGACGGTACTAGTAGCTCCTGGCCGTACTACTAGTAACAAACCTCTCTTGTTCCGTATTCTTGTTGGGTCCCTCGTCCTCCACCGGCCGGGCTATCAAAAAGAAATTTAATTTGTATCAAAAACATATCTCTCACAAAGAGCTGCGCCTGCCACTGCAAACCGCCTTGGCAGCGCTGCGCGATGTGAATCTGGATGTGCAAATTTCGTGGCAGGCGCAGCACTTTGAACACCTCCAGTAGCAGGTTTCGTGGCAGGAGCGGCACTTTGCGCATTGGAAGTGCAAATTTCGTGGCAAGCACAGCACTTTGAGTAGCAGGTTTCGAGGCAGGAGCGGGACTTTGTACGCAGCACTTTGAGCACCTTCAGTTGGAGGGCTCGTGGCAGGCGCCGCACTTTGTGCACTGGAACTGCAGATTTCATGGCAGGCGCAGCACTTCGTGAACCTCGAAGTGCAGATTGTGCGAACCTTTGTCTATCGGCGCAGACTTCGTGGCAAGCGCAGCGATTGCGAACCTTGAAGTGCAGTTTGCGTGGCGCTTGCAAAATTCTGTGGATCTCAAGACCTGTGAAAAGAGCTCTTGATATCTCTGGATCTGAACATCTTTCTACAACCTCTGCAAGTCTAGACCCCTAAACCTCCATCTTTAGGTCTGTGTGGGTTTCTAGCCCTCTACACCTGCAGATCCGTCTGGATCTCCAGGCCTCTGGATCTTTGTAGATGTAGACCTCTCTGCATCTCAACCGTGACCTCTCTGAATTTCACGATGGCTCACAAAACCACAAGCCTGTGGATGGCTCACAAAAGGTCTGCTACGTTGGAATGGCACCTTCCTCTTCTAAAGTTTGTGCTGACAACAGGTCTGCTCCTGTAAATTTTGCCCTCGCGTGGCTCACAAAAGGTCTACTGCTCCTCTAAATTTTGCTCACAAAAGGTCTGCCACCTTGGTGTGGCACCTAAAGTTTATCCCCGGGTGGCTCACAAAAGGTCTACGTTGGAATAGCAAATTCTACCTCGGGTTGCTCACAAAACAAAGGCCTGCTACGTTGGAATGGCAACTTCTTCCTCTAAGTTTTAACCTCGAAAGGCTAACAAAAGGTCTGCAACGTTGGAATGGCTCCTTCCTCTTCAAAATTTCGCCCTCAGGTCTAAATTTTACCCTCAGGGTGGCTCACAAAAAAGGTCTGCTACGTCTGGCGATAGAAGGTCTGCTACGGTGCTTCACGGGATGTATGACCAGATTTCCAAATCACCTTGAACGCGTCTTGCTTCGAAAGTACAGACCCAAGGACCCGAAGACCAGGACGAAGGACCCGAAGACCAGGACGAAGGACCAAAGGACCAGAGGACCAAAGGACCAGAGGACCAAGGGACCAGGGGACCAGCAGACCAGGACCAAAGGAGTAGAGGAAATTATCTTTTTGATAGGAATTAATGTTCTTTTTGATAGGTATCCCTCCTCCACCGGCGGCGTGGGCGGCGCAGGCGCTTGCGGCCACCGCAAAGGCTCTGGTGGAGAGAAGCTCCTTAGAGAAGTAGGGCAAGGCTTTGTTGAGGTCCAAAAAAATCAATTCTTGACACAAAGAAATGAACAGACATAAACAAAGAATAGTCTAAAGGAAGTTGAACATACAACACAAAAACAAGAGGTGAATTCTCTGTGTATTCCAAAAACTCCAAAGCAGCCACACTGTTTGGCCCAGCAGGTCTCAGCTGTATGGCTGAGTGGTGGGCTTTGACGGTTTTTTCTTGGGCTCAACTTTGGAGGCCTTGGTGGCGCTTTCATACAAACATCTTCAAAAGTCAGTGACTTAGCGATGCTTTCTGTGTTCTCCCGGCCTTTGGTGCTGTAATGCTTGCAACCTCGGAGACGATTAATGGATTGGATCTATGGAGAAAGGAAGGCTATTTAAACATGTACGTTAATCTTACCACCAAACCCTCACAAACACTTCTTCACAATCTGAGAGACAAGGTATCTACCAAGGTGCATTCTGAAATCCATGTTTCGATCTTCAAACAACTCAGATCAAGATATATCTATTGCTACTGGCTTGGAGGCAATTGCTATAACCTTGGAGGCCATTGCAATTAGGTTCCTTTGCCTATTTATTGAATTCACAAATTGTGTGGCCAACTGCTCGGACACCACCAAGGGTCTCACCAAGTGCGAAGGTGGAGCAGGGACCTTGTGGGGAGGTTTCAGCTTGTGATGGAAAAAACAACAACAAGAGCACTACAAGGCTTCCTGCAGTGCCTTCCCACTCACATTGCAATTAGAATGCCGCCTTTACTATCTGCAGTTAAAACCGATGGAATAGCTTTTGGGTTCTCTGATCCTCTTACAAGACGTAGGAAGACATATCGACTCGATGGTCCTCTAACCATGGAGGACTTGCAGGTCTCAAAATGAACTATTGGGTTATCCATGTGTCGTGATGATAAACATCGTCGAACCGCTCAAACGAAAACAGTTTGTGAACATCTCCACCATTCTGGAAAACAGCTGCCTTACTACTAGGAGCAAGGACGCTACTAGGGGCTCCTGGCATCGCTACTAGGAGCGATCGGACGCTACTAGGGGCTCTGGAAATCCGGTTGTGTGACCCATCTGAGTTCCCCTTCTTTCTCTGTAAGAAATAACAACTATGAAGAAGGGCAAAACGGGAGATGGCCTCCAACTTACTAGCGGTCTGTCTGAAGCAAAAACGAAAACAACTATGCATACACATGCATTACACTGTTCAGCCCACCTCTTGACCATAACAGCGCTTGGGACACACAGTTCATGCTATCCCGTTTGGAGAACACATACAGGGTCATCATAGGATTGACGTCCTTACTGACATCGAACATTGACATGGACACCGACTCACTCAGGGCATGCCTCTGGCATGCGAAGCAGGGCTGGAAGACCAGGCCTTGGATTTGGGAGGGCGGTCTGTCTGATCAGGCAGTTTTTAGAAGTTACCATTCTTACCCGATCAGAAGCCTACTTCTAATTGCCATGAGCCTCCAACCAAATAGCAATGGCCTCCACACTAATAGCGGTCTGTCTGAAGCAAAAACGTCTCCATTCTCCCACAAATTTTTCAGGTCTTTCTTGATCACGAAGGCTATTTCATCGACTTCCTGGGAGCATCATAGAGAGACTATTGCAAGTATATGGCAGGATTGTACTTTGTAAAGAACCTTTCGGGCGCTAGTGGCAGGTAAGTAGGCAAATATACTTAAGTTTAAGCAAGTTGGTGAAGTACAGAGAGAAGCTTCTAGTAGCAAAACAGCGGTTTCTGGATTTAAATCTGTCTCTCCCTAGCGCTGCAGCTTTCCGGTGTTTGCTGCGGCTGGGTGTTCTCTTGCGGACAAGCAGCTGATTGGTCATGCGAGCTGGGGCCCTCTCCAGAAAGCCTGCAAATAATAGACCAACGGCTTTCTAAATGTTCTTGTTTGTAGTAACCGTCAAGAATAGAGTTAGTGGCTGCATGTCAATAGCTTGATTCTGTGGACTTTGCCAAAGAGTTAAACAACAACTGCTGTGTCTCTAGGACATGTCGAATCTTCTTCACTTATTCCTTTTCAGACTCTATTTCTTTTTGCTTCTTTGTACTCTTGCCTTTTTCTATTGCTATTTTCTTTCTTTTACCAATTGACAAATCCGGAGAGTTCTTCCGGACC